TTTTTATCCCAAACTCTTGTATTCCTAGTTTTCCAATAATAATTCCTTTTTTGATCAAATAGGTTTTGAATTTTCACATGCTTTTTTACATAGGTGTAGGAAATCATGATTTTTATCCTTTATTAATGTGATAAAGTTATATTTATTTTTAAATGTTAAACCACTCTCACATTCCTGGAATAAATCCTTCTTAGTTAAGATGTCTTATTCTTTTTACATGTACTGGATTAATTTTGCTAAAATTTGCTTAAGAATTTTGTGACTGTTCATGAGGTATATTGGCCTGTAATTTTCTTTTCTTGTAATGTTTTTTAGGTTTTGATATTAAGATAATGCTGACCTTATGAAATCAGTTGGAAAATGTTACTCTTTTTCTCTTCTGTGGAAGAATTTATGAAAGAGAAATATTTCCTTTTAAAAATATTTGGGAGAATTCAGTAGTGAAAATCTATCACTGGAATTTCTATTGTTGAACTGTTTTATGGTTTCAATTTCTTTAATAGATAAAGGAAATACAGGAAATACAGATTTTTGTATCTTTTTGTGCTCGTTTTGGTAAGTTGTATTTTTCAAGAAATTTGTCTATTTTATCTAAATTGTCAAATTTATTGACAGAAGTGTATTTATATTATATCCTTTTTTATCTTTTTAAAAGTATGTTAGATTTGTAGTGATGTTTCTTTTTTATTTCTGTTATTTATAATTTTTTCTCAGTCTTGCTAATGTGTATCAATTTTATTAATTTTTTCAATGAGCACATTCTAGCTTTGTTTATGTTTTTCTTTGTTGTATATTGGCTTTCTATTTTGTTTATTTTTACTTTTTTCTTTCTACTTTATTTCAGCTTAATTTGCCATTTGTTTCCTAGCTTTTCTTGAGATAAAAGTTTGATTATATATTTTTCAATATATTTTTTTATATGCAGTTTAAGCTATAAATTGTTATTTAAGCACTTATTTCCATTCCAGAAGCTGTAATGTGTTATATTTTCATTATTATCCACTTCAAAATTCCAGTGTGATTTTTCTTTGACCTACAGCTCATTTAGATTTATGTTGCCTGATTTCTAAATAATTAGAGCTTTTTGAATTATTTTTTTTTTATTACTGAGTGCTTTTTTAATTTCATTATGGTCAGAGATCATACTCTTTATGTTACAGAACTTTGAGGTTTCTGATACTTATTTTATGACCCATCTACTATATTTTGTTAGCTAATTCATGTCCTCTCAAGCAGAAGTATATTTTTTGTTGAGTATCATGATCTATATGTCAATTATGTCAAGCTAGTTAATTATGTTCTTCAAATATTTTGTATCTTAACTCATTTTTTGTTTGCTTATTCTATGAGATACTTAGAAGTCCTTTAAAATTGACAACTATGATCATGATTTTTTTCCCTTCCCTTTTTATCTCTGTCAACTTGTCTTTTATCCATCTTGGGGCAGTGTTATTAGGTACGTACAAATTTAGGATTTTATATCTTTATATTGAATTAACATGAATAACTAAAAATCTTACCTTTTTATCTGTAGTAATACTCATAGTAATACTTCTTGCCTTAAAGTCTACCTTTTTCTTATATTAATATAGCTATATCAGCTTTATTTTGGTTGGTGTTTATGTAGTATATCCTTTACCATTTCTTTCAACTTTTTGTGTCCTTATATTTAAAATGCATCTCCTGTAAGCAGATTACAGTAGGATTTTTTATTTTTAAATTCAGTTGATGGATCTCTCTTATTTAATGGGAATTTTTAGTCCATTTACATGTAATGTATATATCCTTTACTATGGTCTACCTCAGGTTAGTATATCTGTTACTTCCTAAACAATGTATAATAAGAACCTTAGAGTACTTTAACTCTACCTTCCTTCTGTCCTTTGTGTTATTATTGCCATATATCTTACCTCTATGTCATAGATTTGTGCAGTCAGTTTTTAAAACATAATCACTCAAATATTTACCCTTTCTAGTGCAGGTTGAATAGCAATAGATTTTCTCAGTTTTTGTCTATAAATGTTCTTATTTCATTTTCATTTTTTAAAACAATTTCTTATTGACTATAAAATTCTAGGCTAGCAGATATTTTCCCCCAATACTTTAAAAATGCCATTCTAATGTTTTCTGGTTTCCAAGGCGTATGTTGCAGTGTTAGCTATCAGTAGTTTCCTACCACCATCACCCTCGCCCTACTTAAAATTTTTCTCTTTGTTTTGTTAGGAGATTGACTATGATGTACCAAGGTATGTTTTTCTTTGTATTAATATTTCCTTTGTGTGGTTCACTGAGATTCTTGAAAATGTGAGTAGGTATTTTTTATCATCCTTGGGAAAGTATTGGTCATATCTCTTCAGATATTCTTTTTGATCCATTCTATTTTTCCTCTCCTGAGATTTTAATTACTTAGATGTTGTATGTGTTAGACTTTTTTTTAAAAAAACTTTCCCCATGTCTTTTATGTTCTATTTTGTTTTTTCCCCATTCTTTTTTCTCTGTGCTTCATTTTGAGTATTTTCCTAAAATAAATAATAGATAATAATTTTGCAGTTTTATAAATTCTATTTGGTTTTCTATTGGAATTTTCATCTCTTTATTCTGCCCATTTTGCTTTTGATTTCTTTACCATTTTAAATTATTTTAAAGCCTTTGTTTGAAAATTCTAGTATCTGTATCATCTGTGAGTCTTCTATTTTTTTAAAAAAATCTTGATTATTAGGTATATTTGTATCTCTTGTCTAGTCATTTCTTTATTTCATGCCAGTAATTATATATAAGGAACTATGAAAGTTCTAATGATACTTCTTCCAGAAATGGATTCCCCTTTTTTTTTGTCATACAGATGAGGTGCTAATCATCTCAGTCCTATCAGCTGAGTCAGTTTTGATTGCACTTTTAGTGAAAGGTGTTCTGCATTTGGTTCTTCCTTATTCCTCAGACTTATCCTTTTGGTACTTGTTATTGAGAATCTGCTGGGTCTTTACTTCATTAACCTTGAAAGGTTGGGAGATTCAGTCTACTCTTTGAAACTTTGCTCTTTGGCCTTCCATCCCACACTGTTTACAAATTTGGCAGCCATCGCCTCTAGTAGAACTTAGTCACTTATCTACCATAAGACTACAGGATATTTCATTCTATCCTATAAAAGTTTCCTACACTTCTCAAAAGCACCAAAATGTAGCAAACATATTGTAGGTTAGCTATACATTTAGGACTCCTGAAATTTCCAATTTGTTATAGCAAAGAATTTCAGGTCACTTACTTCTTTTTACTGCCTTAGATCTCTGATGTCTTACTTTTGTTTGTTGAAGTGGGTATGTGATCTGCCACAATGTATTACATTCTACCAGAGACCAGAAGTTAAAGTTAGTCACCAACTAGATTTTTAAAGCTCAAGTTTAGGTAATATTTCTCATACTTTTTATAGTACAGTACTTAACTAAATATTTGGTAATTGAGCTGAGATTTTGATTTGGATATTGTATAAAAATATAGACTGTAGTTGAGAACATGCGAATGGATAAGTTTTGTAACAGAGGAATGTAAATTTAGGATATATTTATTGAATACATTATGAGTGCCAGGCATTTCACAAATTTAAAAACACTGGGCATTTAAAGATGACTAAGACAAAAATATTTGTCCTCAGAAGCTTAACAGTTTTAGGGGATGGGGGAAGACATGTAAATAGGTTAAATGCCATACCCACATCATAAGGGTAGCAGCAGATTCTTCACAGAGCTAATAGGCCTCAAACTGAATCTTAGGGAACACGTGAGAGTTTCCTGTATTGGGTTGGAAAGGGTATTCTAGTTTTGAAGCAATGGCACATGTGAAATGGAGATTTTTAGAGAGCTTCTCCAAGTTCCCTGTTACTAGAATGTATTTTGAAAAAGGAGGTAAAGCTGAAAAGACATGTAGAAACCAGGCAGATCTTTAAAAGATCTTTTTGGTGGCCAATTTGAGTATAACAGTGAGTTGCTGAAGTGGACTGGAAATGGTTATTAAAGTAAAGGAGCCACTAAAGTGTCTTTTCCAGGATGTTTAAGTTACCAAGATGGCATCAGAATGTGAAGTAAAGGGAAAGGTGTAAGCCAAGTGAATGTGGGGAAATGAATGGTGGTTTTCATTGGGGAAAGCAGATCAGAATCAACTGGGTAGAGTTTTCAGACTATAGGTGTTGGTGGTCCCCAAGGCTAAGGCTGTTATTAGATGTATGTCAGAACCTCCTGGCTTGGAGGGTGATAGATTTTGATACTCTGAGGCTTACAAAGGAGAAGAATTTTTGTCCAGTCTGAAATTAGCCTCCGGGAATGCCTGCCTCTTTTCTCCCTACTTCCCTTGTTATCTATTCTGTTCATTGTGGGGAATCGGAGACTGAGTAGTGGCCAATAGAGAGGGCTAACATAGTAAATGCTTTCCTCAGGGGAAATGCTTTTCATATTTCAATGAAAAGCTAGGGGAGGCAGTAGGATGAAGGAAGTATTCAGTAATGAGGTTGAGGAGATTTGTTTACCATAGGAACATTAGATTATATGGCTGCGGAAAGGCATTCTCTTACATCAAACTTGATGCAATAAATTTAATTTTAAAAACCTAGTAAGACGTCAGGAAAATCTTTCATCTTGCTCCCAGGGTATATAATTTATATTTAAGGGTTTGTATTTTGTAGCATAGCTTGCGTTTTCCTCTATGCTTTAGAGTGTTTTCTTTTAAGTGATTTCAGATTATAATTTGAGGTATAATATATTTCATATTTAAATGGAAAATGTGATTAAAAAATTTAAGAAATTTGTTTTTTAGCCTATCCTTTCAGAATACAAATATGTTAAAAGGCGAGGTATGTTGTTTATAGCAAATGATCTTATTAAAAACATTTTTGTTTTCAGACTTTAGTTTTTATTTGAATTTTAAGAAAAATTTTTCAGATTGCTATTTAAAATATTTTCTTTGTTTTTAATAAAGGCATAAAATTACAGCACATAAAATTATTTTTTTAGATTTGCAACAGCTGTGAAAAAGTTCCGTTTCCTGAATCCACTTTTGATTTTTAGTGGGGACTGCTTAAATCCTTCAGTTTTAAGTACAATAACAAAAGGAAAGCACATGATTCCTATATTAAATGAATTGGGAGTACATTTTGCAGTTTTTGGTAAGTATTCATAAGCTATCCTTTTTACTGTTATTTGAAGTTTATGAAGTAATTACAGATTACTTTTAGATTATTTGATGTAGGAGGAGTTGAATAATGTTGTTTTTTATCAGCAGATAGTCCCTGAAAGCATTTGGAAGCTCATTAATAGGATTGTTCAATGAATCTGAAAATTTGTAATCAAACCTAGGTTTCATGTTATGGGGTAAGATTTTAAATTGTGTCTATACAAAAGTGAGATGTGTTATTGGAGTAGTTAAGATCATGAACTTTGGAGTTAGCTGGGCCTGGGTTTGAATCCTGGTTCCATCATCCTCTCATTAAGTGATTTTAAGAAAGTGACTAATCTCTTAAAGCCTCAGTTTTATCAGATGTAAAATAAGATAATATATAAAGTAAATGAAGCAATGCCAGACACAGTGAGTGAGCAGCTAAATTCAGCTAAATACAGTATGCACTCAGTGTATTTTAGCTGTTTTTATTAAGATGAAAAAGAGGATATTTGAACTATTCATAAAATGTATTAGAGTTTTGTGGGAAGATAGCAGTTTAGATATTATTTTCCTACATTGAAGAGATAATTAGGGAATTTAGATAGAGGCTGAGATTAATAGGGATCTATCCCTGTATCTAATCACTGTCTTATTGTAGGAATATATATAGTGGTTAATAGTGGTTATATCTGGATGGTATAAGAGATTTTTATTTTTTCCTGTGAGCTTTTTTAGATTTTTATACAATGAACTAATGGGATCAGTGATTCCCATAGTTTAGTCATTTGTTCCCATTGGTTCGTCATATTAAAAGAATACTTGATAATACATTGTGAACATTTTCCCATATTATGAAATAATCTTTTTTATTGTAAAATATACATAACATAAAATTTATAATTTTAGCTATTTTTAAATGTACTGTTCACTGACATTAAGTACATTCACATTGTTGTATATGAAATAATTTTTATAATATTTTTAATGGTTGCCCAGTATTCCAATGAATGGATGATATTTCATTGCTTACATAATCTATTATTAGATATTTAGGTTGTTTTCATTTTTTTGTTATTACAGTAAAACTGGGAATTTGGGAAGGATCAAGGGAATAAAAGGATGTTGGCATATTTTAGACAGATAATAGCGAATGTCTGTTGTAAAAGTAGGTAGGATGGCAAGGCCAAGTAGTTAATGAATGAAATGGCTCCATAGAATTCTGTAATTTATGCCATCTTTCCCAAATCCTGAATGGACTTTGTTTGTTGGTGACAAAGAAGATAAAGAATCAAGGAGAAGAGGCAGAATTAGCCCCAGGATTTAACTGTTCTTTCTTTATTTTAACCTACTTACCATGCTCTTTGTTTTGTCTGCCACAGACTTCTGGAACTCATTACCATGTGGATTAAGAAGTTAGAATCTAAAAATGTTCCACATTTAAGTCTAGTATATATTTGGTTACTAATTTTAGTCCACACATTGAATTGGACCATATGTCCTGACTTTCTTCTACTTATCTATATTGTGAAAGAAGGGAACTGTGAATGTTGAAAACCTGGTATACTAGTAGCATACTTTGAGCTCTGTAGTGTTTGACTCCCTTTTCTGAGGCATGTATAGATTTACTGTAAGTGATATTATTTTCAGTTTATTTGACACTCTGTTTATACCACAAATACATATTTGAGTGATTTCAGTTTTCTTTTTATAGGGTTTTTGTGAATGGGTTCTATTGTAAGAAGGTGAGAACAAATAGTCAATCCCTGTTGGGTTATTTTCAGCTCATCAGTTTTGCTAAGTATTATATTGCATTTGCTTTTTGACATTTTAAATTCTTTTTTATGAATTTAATGCAATTTGGAAAGTACAGAAGTATCAAGAAACAAAAGATAATCACTCATAATGCCATCATTTTAGGTTAACATTTTGTGATATTTCCTTCCAGTTTCTTTTACATGCATTTTTCATGTAGTTGAGATCATACTGTAATTGTACAATTTTGCATGCTACTTTTTCTTGAATATTATATCAAACATTTTCCCTCGTGTATCAGTTTCATCCTGGTGGAAAATAGTTGACACAGGCATGTGGGTAATTTAAGGAGAGTTTAATAAAAACTATTTACAAAGGAATGAGGAGTAGGAGGGAAGCCATAAGGGAGGGATGATATAGTATTGAGAACTTAAAATGTGGCTAGGACGAATTGAGGTGCGTAGTAATTTTATGTGCTGGATTTCTAAGACTTAGTATGAAAACAGAAGAATGTAAAATATATCATTCATTTTTGCATTGAATACATGCTGAAATGATAATATTTTGGACATATATTGAATGACCTATACTAAAATTACCTTCACCTATTTTTTTAAATGTGGCTTCTAATTACACACATTGCTTACATTATATTTCTATTAGTGCTAGTATGGAGTATAGTATAAAGAAGCATCTCTAAGCCTGAAAAGGGAAGCTTTCCCATGGAAAGCTCAGCTGATAGGATATATTACCTTCAGTAGAGGGTCGCAGCTAATCTACATGGACCCAGAAGGAAGGAAGATGTCTGGGGAATAAACACCTGATCCTACCCTCTTCCTTGACCATTTGTTCTGAAATTCCTACCTGTGCCTATTATTGGTTTAATCTAATAGAAAGCCAGCAGATAAGGAAGCCAGTTGATGCAGTCCATAGAGGTTGACTTACCTGATCCCAGAGCAGAGTAGAAAAGGTAAAGAGTGAATCTGGAGGATCCTATAAAGATATCAGCATATTATATCATTAAAATGCTTTGCAAATCTAATTTACAAGAACTGCAGTTCCATATTATGTATTATTAATAAATTGTGAATGTTTTAGGAAAACTTATAATGTCTAATTATGGGAGTTATTTAGGGTATATTGTTTAATTTAATATAAATAAATAAAGCATACCAGGGTTTTTAGTTGAAACAGCAATCAAGCTGTTCTCTGATAGAGTTTTATTAAGTGTACTCTAGAATTTGAAAATTGATTAAATTTTGACATTGCCTAGTTTAAGTATCCCAATACTTAAAAGTAACATTTTCTATACGATTAAATTTTTTTTCTATCTAAACTGATAGTAGAGTGTACAACCTTGATATTTATTGGGTTGAATTTCTTTACATTGTTTTCATTCATTGCTTTAAAACTGAAATATTGATTGGTAACTATTTTAATGGAATTTGATTCCAAAGTGATATAATTTTAAAATTATACTTTGTGATTAAATGTAAATTGCATTTAATTTTTAATAATTGAATATTATACAATTAAATGTAAAATACAAAATAAATTATAAAATTACAAGATAATGCATAAAAGTGTAATGAAATTTAAACACAATTTTATTCGTTCAAAGCATGCATAATATGAATCACTTGTTAACAAAAATTTGATAAATAGAAGACTTAAAAGGCTGTCTAGGACTTTTTCTTACATTTATCTAAAGAATTGAATATCTGTTAAATACAGTATGAATATATTCTGATTTCTTATCTTAAGGAGAATGTAATATCACCATCAAAATCCTTAGTTTGTTCTCAAGTAGTTTGAACTGTGCCCCTACAATATAGTTCTGCTTTGTACTTTGTTATAGACATTACAACGTAAATATCTGTTTGGTTCTAAAACCTAATATCCATTCCAAATTAGTGGAATCAACGTTACTATTTTTATTTAAAATTTTTTCCTTTTATCTATGCTCTTTTATTAGTAGTATTTTGGAATTAAACTTGTAGTATATGAAAGTTTTAGTAGGAGATTATTTTGATCATTGATATGTATAGAGAGACAAAAACATCAAGTGTAGTTTGTATTACATTTAGTAATGGTTACCTAGTTCTGAAAATGTTTTAAGACTAAATGATAACCCATGTTCTCTGAAACAAACTTGCTGTGGATAACTTCTTAGTGTTTTTTTAATGTATACTATTTTGTTAATAATGTAATAGTATACTATAGTATACTAAATAGTATACTAAAATAGTATAATAAAATGTACCATTTTATTAATGTATTCAACTTTTTCATGTAGGTAATATATTCACATGGTTCAATAACCCCAAATTTTAATTATAGAGTAAAACAGCTCTTTCCTATGTTTGATTCCTTTTGCCCAGTTTGTATTCTCCCAGGTAACCTTCCTTTTAAGTTTGGTAAGTTTCTTTCCAGGATTTCTTTATGAATAAATGAAAAGATGAACAAATAATAATAGTGATGTGATGCTTATTTTTCCACTTTATTACACAAATGAAGCATATTACATTATATGTTACATATAATTTTGTCATTTATTCTTGTCTTCTTGCCACTTTTTCCTACATTAAAAAAATTTGTGCTTGTGGCATTTCTTTTATTTTTTTTAGTTATTGGAGAAATATTTTGTCAACATTTTAATTTCTATTGTGGAAAGATTTTTTTGAATATTGTTCCTTGTCTGGTAAGTTTTGCTGCTTTTCTTATCTTTTTTCTTTTACCAGGGTTGTGCCAGGTAGTATTCAGTGCAAGCTTATGATGGGGGATTGTATTTGGAGTTGTTCCTATAGCTTTGTGGGTTCTCAGGAAACTGAGTCTCTCATCTTCTGTTTAAGGAGGTAAAAGCACTTGCCCCAGCAGGTGCTAATGGATGAGAGTAGTGACATGATATATGTATCTGCTCTTGTATCAGGTTGTTCCAGAGAGTTGGGTTATTGGTCTCTCCTTTTTTTTAGTCTAGCTGTCTATAGTTCTGGCCTTTAATGAAACTTTACTGAATTCTTTTATCAGTTCTAACAGTTTTTTTTTTTTTTTTGAGTCTTTAGGATGTTCTACATACAATCATTCATCAGAGATACTGGCCTGTAGTTTCTTTCGTGGTTATGTCTTTGTCTGATTTTGGTACTAGGGTAATTCACCAGTGAAGCCATTGGATCCTAGGATTTGCTTTGATGGGAAACATTTTATTATGGCTTCAGTCTTATTATTGGTTTGTTGAGGTTTTGAATTTTTTTCCTCATTAAGTTTTGGTAGGTTGTATATGTCTGGGAATTTATCTGTTTCTTCCCTACTTTGTTGGGATATAGTTGATCATAACAGTTTCTAATGATCCTTTGTATTTCTGTGGAATCAATTGTAATGTCTCCTTTATCTTATTTACTAGGTCTTCTGTCTTTTTTCTTAGTCTAGCTAAAGGCTTGTCAATTTTGTTTATCTTTTCAAAAAAACAACTTTTGGTTTTGTTATCTTCTGTTTTTAAAATAAATTTAGTTTTAATTTCTTTTATGTATGCTCTGCTCTTTATTATTTCTTTTCTTTTATTAATTCTAGATTTTATTTGCTCTTAGTTATCTAGTTTCTTGAGGTACTTCATTATGTTCTTTATTTGAAGTCTTTGTACTTTTTTGATGGAGGTATTTATTGCTATAAACTTCCTGCTTATACTGTTTTTGCTGTTTACCATAGGTTTTGGTATGTTGTAATTCCATTTTCATTTGTTTCATTTGTTTCAAGTTTTTAAATTTCCTTCTTAATTTTTTTGTTAGCCCATTCATCATTTGGGAGCATGTTTAATTTCCAGGTGTTTGTGTGTTTTCCATGTTCCTCTTATCACTGATTTCTAGTTTTATTCCATTGCTCAGAGAAGATACTTGATATGATTTATACTTTTTTGTATTTGTTGAGACTTGTTTTGTGGCCTAAGATATGGTCTATTTTGTAGAACATTCCATGTGTTGATGAAGAGAATGTGTATTTTACAGCTGTTGGGTGAAATATTCTGCACATGTCAGGTCTGTTTGATCTAGTGTGTAGTTTAACTCCAATGTGTCTTTGTTAATTTTCTCTTTGGATAATATTTCCATTATTAAGAGTGAGATATTGAAGTCTCCTACTATTATTTTATTATTGTCTATCTCTCCTGTTAGATTTATTGTTTGCTTTATATACTTGGGAGCTTTGATGTTGGGCGCATAGATATTTATAATTGTTATATCCTCTTGTGGAATTGTTCCTTTTATCATTATATAGTGACCTTCTTTGTCTCTTTTAATAGTTTCTCATTCATGGCCTATTTTATATGATATAAGAATAGCTACTCCTGTTCTTTTTTGGTTTCCAATTGCATGGAATATCTTTTTCCATCCTTTCACTTTCAGTTTATGTGTGGCTTCTAGGTGAATTGCATTTCTTTTAGGCAGCTTATATTTGTATCTTGTTTATTTATCCAGTCAGCCACTCTCTTTTAACTGGAGAAATAAGTTCATTTGCACTCAAAGTTATTATTGATAAGGATTTACTGCTGCTATTTTGTTGCTTGTTTTGTAACTCCTGACTTCCTTTCTTACTGTCTTCTTTTGTGGTTAACTGATTTTTTTCTGATAGTGTGTTTTAAATCATTGCTTTATATTTTCTGTGAATATATTATAGATTTTTGCATTGTGGTTGCCATGAGGCATTCAAAAACCATTTTATAGATATAACAAGTTATTTTAAAGGGATGAAAAGTTATCTTACATCATAAAGAATAGAAACAAAAAATGAAAAAATTCCACTACACTTTAATTTTATCCTTTCCCCCCTTATGACTTTGTTGTCTCAATTTACATATTTTTATATTGAATATCTCTTAACAGGTTGCTGCAGCTATTATTGTTTTTTAAAGATTGGTTTCTTTTGGCCTTCATACTAGAATTATGAATGGATCACTGGACCACAATTTTACTATTAGCACATTCTGGATTTGTCCATGTGCTTAATTTTACCAGTGGGTTTTATACCTTCAAATGTTTTCTTTTCACAGTATCTTTTTCCTTTCAAATTAAAAAACTCCGTTTAGCATTTCCTGTCAGATGGTTCTGGTGCTGGTGGATTTTCTAAACTTTTCTTTGAGAACAACTTTTCTTTCTCCTTATAGTTGAAGAATAGCTTTACTGGATACAATATTCTTGGATGCCAGGTTTTTTTCTTTCAGCACTTTGAAAATATTGTCTCACTTCCTTCTGATCTGTATGGTTTCCATTGAGAAGTCTGTTGGCTAGATGAATTTTAGCTGTTTTATATGCTATTTGTTTCTTTTCTCTTTTTGTTTTTTGGATTCTCTATTTTTCCTTGACCTTTGAAAGTTTGCTTATTATATGCATTGGGATAGTCTGATTTGGGTCAAATCTGTTTGGTGGTCCTATAATTAGATATTTATATCTTTCTTAAGTTTTGATGGTTTTTTATTATTTCTGTGAATAAGCTTTCTACCCCTTGCTCTTGTTCAACTCTCTTATAAGCACCAATAATTCTTAGATTTGGTCTTTTGAGGTAATTTTCTCTATCTTTTTATTCTCCCCTCCCCCACCCTGTATTTTTAAATGGCCTGTTTTTGAGCTTATTGATTCTTTCCTCTGCTTGATGCATTCTGCTGTTGAGATCCAATAATGAATTTTTTAGTACAGCAAATACATTTCTTAGTTTCAAGATTTTTAAAATTATTTCAATATTTTGTTATATTTTTCTGATAAGTTTCTGAATTGCTTTTCTGTGTTACTTTTAGAGATCATTGAGTTTCCTTAAAACTGCTATTGTGAATTCTTGATCAGAGAGTTCACATATCATCATCTCATTGGTGTCATTCACTGGTTCCTTTCTTTATCTTTTTGGGAGGTCATGGGTTCCTGTTTGCTCTTGTTTCTTGTGAATGTACATCTGTGTCTTTGCACTGATATTTATTTTCATATTTTCTGTCTAGCTTATTTTGGTTTTTATTGGACATGTTTTCTTTGAGATTCTTTGTAATTTATCTGTTTTATTTTTCCTGTAGGTCACTACTTCCTTTTTGGCACTAGATGGCACCTTCGCCCCAGGTTGCTTTGGTTCTAGTAAACAATTAAGAGTGCTGCCCATCCTAAATGGGGATATCCAGGTATCCTGGGAAGGCTGGTCAGTGGTTCATGGCCAGGGAACCTGTGGAATGAACCTCTGACAGCATGATTCTGCTAAACAGCCACTCTGATTTGGCGTCTCCTTTGGCTGAGTTATAGAGCAGAGTTTCTAGGGCTCAGGATGATAGGTTTGCCTAATTCCATTGTCTCTGGCTGTCTGCAGGGATATTTCTCCTTTCAGGCACTTGAGATACTTTCCATGGGTTGAGACCAGGACAGGTGTCCTGCCAGGGAACCCAAGATGGCAGGGAAGCTGGTTGTCTACCTTGGTCCCACTTTTTCCAGTGTAGAAAACTTGAGTTGGGGGGAAGTTTTTTACATGATTAGTGCCAGATTGGGGGAGGGACATTGCAGATATGGAAGTCTGATTCTCTTACCATCTGCTCAGAGTTTTTTCACTGTGCTGTGGCCCTGGAAATTATCTCATTCTCATATTTGCGTTCTGTGATATTTCGGGTGATAATCTCAACACTGTATATTTGTTTTCATTTTCTGTAGTGAGTGGGGGTGGGGACTAGATCCTGTTTGCTTCTGTGCTGTCTTTGGAACTAGAAGTCATTAAATGCCCAGAAAAACTAACATCTTGAGAATATTTTCTCTCTTTCCATGAACATGGAATATCTCTCCATATATTTAGTCCTTTTTTTCTTTCATCATGGTTTTGTAGTTTCCCTCATATAGATTTTATACATGTTTTGTTAGATTTATACCTATTTCATTTTAAGGTGCTAATGTAAATGGTATTGTGTTTTTAATTTCAAATTTCAGTTGTTCGTTGCTGGTACAGTAGTTACATCTGCTGTATAGGAAACTACTACTTGGAGAGTTACAGTATTTCAGTTTGAAAATGGAATAACATTCTTGTGAATTAATTTTAAAACTTTTTGTTTTTATTTTTAGGAAACCATGAGTTTGATTTTGGTGTGGATATTTTGGAAGAATACATGAAACAAATGCACTTTACGTGGTTTCTCAGTAATGTCTATGACAGATTTACTTCTGAACCTCTTGGACATGGTGCAGTAAAAAAAATAGTTAGTTGGAACAATATAAAAATTGGCTTAATGGGGTTAGTTGAAGAAGATTGGCTGGATACATTGGCTACAGTTAATAAGTCACATGTAAACTATAAGGATTATGTCGAAGTTGCTAATAAAATAGCAGTAGAACTTAAAGAAGAAGGAGCAGATCTTGTTATTGCAATAACTCATATGAAATGGGGAAATGATACAAGGCTTGCCCAAAGAGCAGAAGCAGTCAATTTGATTCTAGGAGGCCATGACCATGATTATGGAATCAAGAAGGTGAATGAAACTTGGATTGTCAAAAGTGGATCTGATTTTAAAACCTTGACAAAAATAAATATAAGACTCTTTGGTACATCTTTCCAGTATGTATTTGAGAAAGTAGACATTTTGAATTATTTGGAAGAAGATTCATATATTAAAGCCATAGTAAAAGATTTTACTCAAAACATACAGGTGGGTGAATATTGCTTATATCACTTAGCAAAAACACAAATTGATCACATGAACATTTACTGGGCAATACTGCAACATAATAGCATGGAATTAATGAACAACCAATATTGTAAATGGCATTGCTAATCATAATACATTCATTCTCATTTTAGCTTTATTGGATTTTAATTTTCATATTCAATTTATATTTTATTTTGGCTCTGTATGTAAGAGGAATTTAGACCTATTTAATGTTTGGGCTTATTTCAACTATTGTGAAAATTTATTTTTTAACACTGAAATTCTGCAAGAATCTGTTTTTTAAATAAAGGGATTACTATTTAAATTTAGGAAGCACTGGGTTAACAAAAGAACAGGTGAATTTTAGCTTGTGATGAAAAGGTCCTTTTTCCTGCCTTCTCTTCTACATAACTACCTTAAATTTCAAGTAGTTTGTAATCAGGCCACATCAACTTTTATATGTGTTTGAAACCTTGAGACTTGTCTTTTTTCCAGGGCCCCATACACTTGGAAAAACTGCAGTGCCCTAGTGGGGGGTATGTGTGTGTCATATTTGCAAGGGCTAATGGGAAATATAAGCCAGGCTCTATTTATATCTGTACATGCATCTCATATAACCTCTGGTACTGGAATTGGTTCTATGCAAATGGAGCTCCCTGTTCTGATTTGGATCTAATATTAATGGATGCTATACATTTAGAACAGCTTAGTGTCATGAATATTAGATATTTTTATGATAGTTTTCTGGCTCTGGAGGATATAGATGGGGGCTCCTAAAATTTATGATAACCTGGCTCATTAAATGACTCTGAAAAGTAAATCATTGTTAGGATATGCAGTATTTTGATATCCCTTTGGTACTTTGATATTTGGAGAGGAAGAGTTTCAGTAAATTATCCGATTTTGAGCTAGAGGTGAATAAATAGTCAAGAGGAGAAAAAATTTTAAAATAGCTTTTTTGTTCTTCTTTTAGTATATGTTAAAAGAAGTTCTCTGCCCAATTGATATGGAACTAGATGGCCGTGAAATTACTGTAAGAAGATCTGAGAGCAATCTTGGAAATTTGGTAACTAATGCAATGTTGGAAGCTACTCGTGCTGATGTAGCACTACTTAATTCAGGTGATTTCATTATTTAATTTGTTAAAAATAAACAATTATGCTTTAAAAATGACTAAAATTTGTCTTTCAAAATTTATAATAGCAGTAGACTATTTTTATGACATGCAAAGTCTTATTAAGAAATCTATTCCACTAACTTCATGAGATCAGCTCTTCATGTTTTGTTTTCTCAGGTACAACATTTAGAATTAGATAGTTTGGTTTATTTGAAAATTAAAGCATCAGGTTTTAAAAATTTTAACATTTATATTCAATGATATTTTGAATTAGGATGTGGTCTTGTCATTTTTCTTTTAAACTTGGTGTTCAGCCAAGCTTTGATTATATCGGAAACATTGGACTTTATAAAAGCTTTCATTTGAGTTTTTGTTCTTTTACCAATTCTCCCTTCTTAGCTGTGTAATAAGAAGTGGTAAGAGAAATCTTGTAGGTTGAATGGGTAATCCGCTCCCTAACCTAACCATTTTTGTGTACTACTGTAGTAGTTTGAAGTTGGCCTCGCTAGGGTTGTAAGCTAGGGCATTAAGAATCTCTACAGATAATAGGAAATTAAAACTATTAAACCAACCTTGATTAATATGCCATAATACAGAGCTTTAGACACTCTGACTATATATAGTCACAGTGATTAGATGACTGATTATTTCAAAAATTTATAATGTGACACCATTTAACATCCTAATTATAACTTTTTATAATGCCATTTCACTGAAAATACAAGTGATTTTAATTTCTCATGAATTATTTAGGCTAGTTTGTGGAAAAATTTCCTAAAAGTGAAATTTGTTAAGTCTTAGAATTGTTTACTTCAGAAGTTTCTGAAATTTTTCCCTTTGGAGATCTTTGAAAATAGATCATGTTTGCTTTGGGATGCCTTAGACATGATCCTATCTGAAAGCAGGGGGAGAGGTAGTGGCTTTTCACTTGTTATATTCTGTAATTAAAGAGAAAGTGATAGATAACATGAAATTAAATCTTCCAAAAATGAATATGCTAGATATAACCACATGATTAAGATGGAAGTAAACATGGGGAGAGGATTGGAAAAATGATTAGGAACTTTGGGCAATGTGGTGTATAGGTCTGTAATTTTGAATATAACAGAATCATATATAATTGAGTCATAAAGGTGACATTTATGGAAAAAATGAAATCAAAATATGTATTTTTTCCCCTTAAATTACTATAGGCACTCTCAGATCTGATCGAATACATCCAGCAGGGAATTTCACTTTGCATGATCTTTTGGCTATTCTTCCCATAGTGGACCCAGTTTTAGTTGTCAGAATAACAGGTGCTCAGCTGCTTGAAGCGCTTGAAAATGGGGTTTACAAGTACCCAGCTCTAGATGGGAGGTATGTATATATGTTTCTACTAATTGATGTTCTCATCAATTATTTTTTGTATAATGGAACTGAAAGAAAACTCTGAATTTAAATATGATTTAACATTTTTAAAATTTAAATGTATAAATCTTTAAAATATTGGTATATCAGGATAGTGTTTTAAAAACTCATTCATTTTTTTTTTCACTAGTGTGAGATTGGCAAAACATTAGTTTGTAAAAATTGTACTTCCTATTAAAAATATAGGATTACTTTTAGTTGTATATGGATATATTTGGGTAGGCCCTGGATTTAAGTATTGAGGTACCTAAAATTCTTCTTTTTCTCCCTTTTGTTATTTAAGAAATAGATACTACTTTGTTATCTGGGTTTATTCTCACTGCAGAATTCTTAGGTGAATGATGCTAAACTAGCAGACTTAAGGGGTTATGATGCTTCTCTCCCTTCCTTTAACCCGTAAGCCAAAATGTAGGACAAACCAGCAGCTCAATATCATAATCTATGTTATCATTATACTGTACATATTGTAGCATACCATGGTGACAAGAGTTAATAAGAGGCTGAAAAAAGAGTGAGACCAACCATCTGGAGAGAAAGCTTATAGAAAAATCTTTTGATTTTATAAAATGTTATATCAAGTTTTATTTAAAAAGCTTTATTGAGATAGCATTCACATTCCATACAGTTCATCCATTTAAACTGTATAATTTAGTGGTTTTTAGTATGTTCATAGAATTGTGCAATTATCATCACAATGAGTTTTAGAACATTTTTATCACTCTGAAAAGAAACCCTTGTATGCATTAGTGGTCACCACCATTTCCTCCCAAACCCCCCAGCTCTAGGCAACCACTAATCGACATTCTGCCCCTATGGATTTGCCTTTTCTGTACTATTTCTATTTCTATATAAATAGAATCATATATTATGTGACATTTTAACTGGCTTCTTTCACTTAGTATGCATTCAAGGTCCATCCATGTTATAGCATGTATCAGTACTTCTTTTCATTTTATTGTTGAATAACATTCCATTGTGTAGATAACACATTTATCTGTTTATCAGTTGATGGACATTTGGATTGTTCCCTCCTTTTGGCTATTATGAATAATGCTACTATGAAATTCATGTACTAGTATTTGTGTCGGTATATGTATTCATGTTTCTTGGGTATATACATAGGAATAGAATTGCTTTATCATATGTTAACTCTGATCTTTTGAGAAAACTAACAGACTGTTTTCCAAAGTAGCTGTACTGTGTTACATTACTCTCAGCAGTATATGAAGGGTTCAGTTTCTCCACTTTTTTGTCAGCAATTGTTATCTATCTTTTTGATAATAGCCATCCTAGAAGATGTGAAGTGACATCTCATTTTGGTTTTGATTTGCATTTCTCTGATGGCTATTGATATTGAGCATCTTTTTCATGTGCATATTTTCCATTTGTATATCCCCTTTGGAGAAATGTCTATTCATATCTTTTGCTCTTTTAAAAATTGAGTAGTTTAAAAAATAATGAGTTATACCTGCACTCGAATGTTTATAGCAGCACAATTCATAATTGCAAGGCTGTGGAAACAGCCCAAGTGCCCATCAATCCAAGAATGGATTAATAAAATGTGGTATATGTATACCATGGAGTACTATTCTAAGAAACAACGGTGATATAGCACATCTTATATTTTCCTGGTTAGAGCTGGAACCCATACTACTAAGTGAAGTATCCCAAGAATGGAAAAACAAGCACCACATATACTCACCAGCAAACTGGTATTAACTGAGCAGCACCTAAGTGGACACATAGGTACTACAGTAATAGGGTATTGGGCAGGGGGGAGGGGGGCGGGGGGTGGGTATATACATACATAATGAGTGAGAGGTGCACCATCTGGGGGATGGTCATGCTGTAAACTCAGACTTGTGGGGGGAGGGAGGGAAAGGGCATTTATTGAAACCTTAAAATCTGTACCCCCATAATATGCCAAAATAAAAAATAAATATATAAAAATTACTAAAATCAGAAAAAAAATGAGTTATAGGGGCTCTTTGTATTTTCTAGATACAAATCTTTTATCAGATATATGATTTGCAAGCATTTTTGCCAAGTCTGTAGTTTGCCATTTTATTCACAGAGACTTATGCCTCGAGTTTCTTCTAAGAGTTTTATTATTTTAACTCTTACCTTTGGGTCTTTGATCTATTTTGAGTTAATTTTTATGTATAATGTAAGAAGGTGGCTCAACTTTATTCTTTTGCATGTGTATGTCCAGTTGTTCTAGACCATTTGTTGAAAAGACTGTTTTTCCCCCATTGAATTGTCTTTCTACTCTTGTCAAAAATTAATTTACCATAAGCATAAGAATATTTCTGGACTCTCAGTTGTGTTTCATTGATCTATATATGTTTATCTTTAATGCAGTAGCACACTGTCTTGATTACCTTTGTAGTAAGTTTTGAAATCAAGGAAATGTGAGTCCTGCAACTTTGTATTTTTTCTTTCAGAATTGTTTTGGCTATTTTGGGTCCCTTGTATTTACATATGAATTTTAGAATCAGCTTATCACTTTCTGCAAAAAGGGAGCTGGGATTTTGATATGAATTGCATTGAATCTTTAGATTGGGGAGTATTGCTGTCTTAACAATATTAAGTCTTTCAATTTAGCAACACAGTATGTCTTACCATTTTTTAGTTCTGGTTTCTTTAAACAATGTTTTATAGTTTTTAGAAGTCTTGCATTTGTTTTTATTACGTTTATTCCTAAGTATTTTATTCTTTTGGATGGTATCATAAATTTTTATAATTGTTTTCTTAATTTTATTTTTTCTTACTGTTCATTGTTAGTGTATAGAAATACTATTGATTTTTGTATATTGAATATATTGAGCAAATTATGTTTTAACATCAAACCAACCCGGTGCTAATATAGTGCATAAACTCAAGGAGAAACTTATAGTGGTATATCTGGCTTTCTACATATATAGTTTAAGGCAAAGTGTTTAGGAATCTCTATAAATACCTTCTTTTTAAAAAGTAGAAATGGGAGGATATGGGGCAAGATGGCTGACTAGAAACATCAGTTGCCAGATTGTCTCAGAACAAAGGGAAAGTGTTAGATTTTAGCTCAGGTATAATTCTGAGGGAAAAGTGCCATAACCTACCAGAGATTCTACAGGAAGGAGTTGTGGAGCAGCACAAGAAGGAGCAAGATTTTAGCAGAGATCAACCCCTGAGAAACTTGGAGTCCCATGGAAAGGGTAGATGGGAGTTTTGTTTCTCCTCCCCATATATCTCTGGTAGTCAGCAGGCTCCTGAGCTCCTGGAGAGCTTCTCTACTCTCAGAAGCTCAAAAGCTGCTACAGCCAGAGAACTGGGAACTTCTTGAAAACAAAGCACTGGGCTGCCAAGTCCCTCAGAGTTGCCCCTTGTCACCACAGACCTGAGCTGGAATGGTGGGCACCATACTGCTTCTCCACGCAGTGTGTGCCTTTGTCTTCTGCAGGGAGCTTCGGCCCTTCAGTTCCTGTCACTGGTTCCCACACAGACATTTTCCAACTCCTATTCAGACTGCAATGGGCATGGGGGCCAGCAGGTCCTGGGGGAAGTATGTGATCCTGGAGCTTCAGCATTCCAGGTGGGCTGCCTTCTGGGGAGAGGGACAGAAGGGACCAGAGTGCCAGCTGTCTTCCATTCTTCAAACTCCTTTTATCCCCCTCCTATGCTCCACCCACTGCTACTGAGTGGCATGGGTGCTCCAAGGGGTGATTGAGCGGACACTCTCAGGAGAAGCTGCTTCCCTTCTTTTGGTCATGGCATGCCTACCACACCAAGGCTTGCACAGAGAGTGGGGCTCACACCATTTCTTTTAAAGACCTGCAATGGACAAAGAGGTGCTCAGACTGTGAACTCCCTGACTGCCAGCTCTCCCTGGTGCTGCTCACTTAGCTGCTCCAGCAGAGCAGGGAATACCCTGAAGTGGAGGCACATTACCCCTACTTGAGCACTCCGTGGGCAACTCAGGACCAGTACACTTCTCCCTGGCACAGTCAGGGATTGAACTTGGGGTGCCAGGGGACAGGCCTATAGGCTATATCCCATATCCCAAGGACTCAATTGTGTTGCTTAAGGGAATGGGGGTGAGATCTGTGAACTGATCTTGCAGGTCAAGAGAGCCCACGTGGGCAGAACTGAAAGGAGAGTACAGTGTGAGTCCAAGCTGCATTGCACTCATGGAGCACTTCTCTCCCCACGGGAAGGTTACACTCTTGGTCCAGGGCGGGATCCTGGGAAGTATCATGAACGCTATTTGTTGACAAGCAAAAGCCCTGACTTAGCATTATATAAGCTATCCATGTAATAGAAAGACTGTATCCCTTTAATTAATATTTTGAAATTAAAAAAATTTAAAAAGAACTCCATATCTCATTAAATCAAATATTGAATGCAAAAAGGAGGTAGTTTTGTTGTCACATGATAGAATATTTTTTGTACTAAGTTGCAGTTTTCTGTGTTTTAATCTGCATGGGCAAATAGCTCTGAAACAAAATGTTTTCCTTAGCTCAAGGTGTTTTACAAAACAATGGCTCACACACTAATTTTTTAAAATTTCTGTTAATATTATTAACAGCCTAGCAATATGTTTTTATCAAAATATTCACATAATTGTGAAATCATAGAGTTTGAGAGCCCACAGTGATTTTGAAAATCAGTGTTGAGCAGACTTTTGACATATTCAAGACTATAAGTTAGCATTTTACCTTGGTCTGTGTGGTAGATTAGATTATTGAAAATATTCACTCCCTTCCTCCATCTCCATAAGAAGAGTATATTTACTCACTTTGGTATCTTGTACTTGGCCTTGTGACTTTGGCCTCTAAGTTGGTGGAACCTACTACCTGTACCTTGACTTCTGGTGTGGCCGTGTACTACATTTGGTGAAGGAATGGTAGCACTCCTGACATAAGGATTGAAAGGATCTTGTGCTTTGCCATTGCCATGAGAAGAACTTC